AAGCATTGCGCAGGGACTCCGTGACAGGTGCTCCCAGCAGCTGGGACCTACCTCCACATCTGGGAACCTCCTCTATCTCCAGGAAGGTTGCTGGCTGCTGCCCTCAGAGCCCAGGTCTGAAGGCAGCACAGAAGTGAGGGTGACAATGCTGTGACCCCCCTACAACAACCTCCGAACTCCCCCATTCTCCCATTTTGGCAGGACCCCTATGGTTACAATACCATGAAATGTCAGATGGAAACATCTGAAATGGTGACATTAGTCAATTTCAAGGCCAGAGGGTTTTTTAATTAGTCAAAATGAGCTGTGAATTTGGTAGAGACCTGGCTGTTATGGAGGCCCTAGCAGGTTTGCACCCCAGTTCTCCTGAAAGGCCATTGAGAATTCATGCTGCAAGAGAAACTTCCCAGAATAAGCTACCACGATTGGGGAGAAATGAAGGAAACCAACTGAAGCCTGAGCTAGGATGGAGAGCATTGATCCAAGCAGTGTTTGAACCCCTCCACCCCCACAGCGGGGTGCCGATTTCTGTTTGTGAATTTGCTACAGACTGTGGGCTTCAGCACAAGCCGTATAGCCCATACTCTGAACTCTTGGATAAACAACAAAGTTGGCTTTTCAGAAACCTTTTCCCCCAGGGCTCTGCATCCACTTGGGATTGTGCCCAGCAGAGGCTGGTGGAGGGGAGGGGAAGATAGAGGAGGCTGTGCAAATGTCATGGCGTCTGCACTACCCCACAGACAGACACATACACACACACACACACCCAATACCAATGCACGGCATATTAGCCAGGACAGTAAATTATTTGGCCATAACTTAAAGTCCTCAGTGTTGAAAGTACAATTTATCCAGAAAACTATGGGAGGGAAGGGAAGGAGAGTTGCAGTAACCAGCCTGGATTTCCAGTCTCTGGCCAGGCACATCCCCCTCTCCAGGGTTTTCACTGACTTCTTCTCCAAACTAGTCCTCCTGATATAATCTGAGGTCACATCCTGGCCTTCAGGGACAGTCGCAGGATCTTCACTGTTCCCAGCTGCAGCATCACCCTCGTTATCCTGCAGCACAGCACTTGGCATCCAAGTGCAGACTCCAAAGAGACTCAAGACTGTTTGGTTGATTCCTGAATTCAGGACCTGATCCAATTCCCATCAAAATCAGTGAGCCAGAGTCTCAGCTGGTGTCAACTGGAATCGCCCCATTGATTCCGGTGGATTTACAGCCCATTCACACCAGCTGGGGATCTGAGAACCTCACAGAACCTCTCCACTAATTCCAATGGGTGTTGGAACAGGCCTGTAAGTAACACACCTTCCCCCTGTGACAGAAAAACGCAGGCCTGGCCCTGTTTGAAAGCAGCTGTTGAATTCTGTTTTGCTCATGATTCTCTGTCTCCTTGTGTGATCGGGGAGCTGTATCCTTTCCCCTCCTAGCCCCACCACAGATTCATGAAGTCAACAAGACATCTGAATGGTCAATGGCGTTAGTAGCTTTGGAGACTCCAATCAGGCATGCAAATGGCCCCATGCTCTGCCATGACTTTGGGGGAGAGGCCGGTTGTATCTGTCGTTTGCAAAGACACCCAATAAATAAGGGGGAGGGATAGCTCAGTGGTTTGAGCATTGGCCTGCTAAACCCAGAGTTGTGAGTTCAATCCTTGAGGGGGCCACTTAGGGATCTGGGGCAAAATCAGTATTTGGTCCTGCTAGTAAAGGCTCAATGACCTTTCAGGGTCCCTTCCAGCTCTATGAGATAGGTATATCTCATTATTATTATAAAATCTGTTTGTTTTTTTCATATAGAAAATGCTTCATTTCAAGATTGGGAGACTAGTGGAAAGACTAATTAATTACTCGTATTATAGTTAATCTTAACAGTAGCGCCTAGAGGCCTCCCGTGAGATCAGGGCTCCAGGCGCGGCGCAGACACAGAATAAGAGAGAATCGAGGCCCTAAAGAGGTTAATATAAGATAGACAAAGGGCAGGAGAGAGGAATGATTTGCCCAAGGTCTCACAATAGGTGAGTGGAAGAGTCAGGTATGCAGGAATCTCCCAGGCCAGGGGTGGCCAATCGGAGCCTGAGAAGGAGCCAGAATTTATCAATGGACATTGCCAAAGAACCACAGTAATACATCAGCAGCCCCCCCATCAGCTCCCTGCCCCCAGCGCCTCCCACCCACCGGCAGCCCCACCGATCATCGCCTTCCTCCTCCCTCCCCGCACCTCCCGATCAGCTGTTGCGTGGGGTGCAGGAGGCTCCAGGCAGGAGGGGGAGGAGCGAGGGCACAGCAGACTCAGGGGATGGGATGGGAAGGGAAGGGGTGGAGTGGGGGCAGGGCCTGTGGCAGAGCCAGGGGTTGAGCAGTGAGCACCAGGGGCGGCTCCAGGCACCAGAGCACCAAGCGCGTGCCTGGGGTGTCAAGCCGCGGGGGGCGCCCTGCCGGTCGCCGTGAGGGCGGCAGTCAGACTGCCTTCAGCGGCATGCCTGCGGGAGGTCCGCCGGTCCCGCGGATTTGGCGGTAGGTACGCCGAAGCCACGGGACCGGCAGACCTCCTGCAGGCATGCTGCCGAAGGCAGCCTGCCTGCTGTGCTTCGGGTGGCAAAATACATAGAGCCGCCCCTGGTGAGCACCCCCCGGCACCTTGGAAAGTTGGCACCCGTAGCTCCAGCCTAGGGTGACCAGATGTCCCGATTTTATAGGGACAGTCCTGATTTTTTTCAGAGTAGCAGCCGTGTTAGTCTGTATCCGCAAAAAGAACAGGAGTACTTGTGGCACCTTGGAGACTAACAAATTCATTTGAGCATAAGCTTTCATGGGCTACATCCGAAGATTCTTGCATCCGAAGAAGTGGGCTGTAGCCCACGAAAGTTTATGCTCAAATAAATTTGTTAATCTCTAAGGTGCCACAAGTACTCCTGTTCTTTTTCCCAATTTTTTGGTCTTTTTCTTATCTAGGCTCCTATTACCCCACCCCCCACCCCTTGTCCCGATTTTTCACACTTGCTGTCTGGTCACCCTACTCCAGTCCCGGAGTCGGTGCCTATACAAGGAGCTGCATATTAACTCCTGAAGAGCCGCATGTGGCTCCGGAGCCACAGGTTGGCCACCCCCATCCCAGACAATAAACCCAGCCAGCTTTGCTAAATTGATAATAAAGGGACATTAGTTATGTGCAGAACACGGACCCTGCCTCGGAGTTTACAACCTTTGGAACCAGGAGTGGGGGGCTGAGAAGAGCCGTGCTCCACCCCGGAGGTGGCTGCTGCGAAGGGATTGCTGGGTAAACAGCCTCTGCACCCCACCCCAGAGGCCACTGTCAGCACCCGGCGCGGGGTCCCTGTATACCCAGCCCCCACCCCAGAGGTGGCTGCATCTCCCCACCCCAGAGGTGGCTGCATCTCAGTGCTGGTTCAGCCAGTGCCTGTGGAGGATTTGCAAGGCGTATAAAAAGGCTCTGCTGTGGCAGACGTTGAAGAAATACAGGAGGCTCTTGGACTGGGATCACTGCAGTGAGGGGGCTTCACCTGCCTCCCCGGGGACAGGGCCCCCATGATCATCACCCACCTCCACCCCAGGGTGAGCCCTCGCCCCTCCCCCCTCTTCCCTGGGAAAATCTCTCCCCCTCCTCGCAAGGCGTCGGAAGTGCGGCGAAGGGGTCTGGATAACGCAGGGACCTTCCTGTTCCCAATCCCAGCCGCCCCCTCGGAAAGCGGCGGCGGGGCCGAGCGCGGAGCCAGCGCGCCCGGGGAACCCAGCGCCCGGCACCCCGGGGAACCCGCAGCGGGGCGCAGCCAGGGGCGGCCCCGGGGGAGGGAGAGAAGCAGCCGCGGAGGCAGGAAATCGCTGCCCGGGGGAAGCGGCCGCAGGGCCGGGGGGATCGGAGCCAGATGGGGGCTAGAGACCCCCCCACACCCCAGCCAGCTCCGGGGCAGCAGGGACGGGGGCGGGTCTGGGGATTAACCCCCCGGAGCTCTGTGTGTAGGAAATAGCCGCTGTTCCCCCCCCCCCCCAAGCGGCATTCCCCGCCCTGCCCCCCCGCATGGAGCCGGGGGCAGAGCCGCGGGTCCCGGATCTCCAGCGCTCCCCGGGCAGGGAGCTCCCCAGAGCCGCCCGCACGGGTGAGGAACGCGCGGCTCCGAGAGGGAAGGGGGAGGCCAGGGGGTGGGTTACACTCGCCCCCCGAGCTGCGGGTCCTGCTGCCCGGCCGGGCTTTTCCACTGGGGTCCGAGCCGAGCGGGGAAGCTCAGGGGATTTCCCAGCGCGGTGCAGACCCGGGATCTTTGGAAGAGGCCGCAGAGGAGAAGACCCGCAGGGGAGCGATCGCTGTTGCTCTCCGAAGCTGGGCTGGGCGCCCGGACTCCTGGGTTCTATTCCCCAACTCCGCCTCTGGCCTCTGCTGCAGGGCCTGGGGGAGCCGCTTCCCCCTCTGGGCCTCCCTGTCCTCTTTAGATTGTGAGGGCAGGGACTGTTTCTCGGGGGGTGGGTGGGTGGGTGCAGTACCCGGCACGAGGGGGCCCTGGTTTTAGCTGGGGTCTGTGCAGTGCGCGGCGTAATGGGGCCCCAGATCGCAGTCAGGGTCTGTGCAGCGCCAGGCGCAATGGGACCCGGGTCTCAGTCTCATCTCTTGATGAGGGCCCCTGCAGCACCGGGCAGGACAGAGCACATCAGAGCAGGGGCTGGGGGGCTCTGGCTGTGGGATTGGTACAAATGTTGATTTCTTTGTAGCAAAGCCCGTTGCCATCCCCGGCACAGCCCTGCCTGGACTCTCTCTCTCGTCCAGCAGGTGCCGGGACAGAGGAGGAGAATCCCCAGCAGGAAGGGCCTGTGGGAGCTGAGTCTCGCGGGAGGTCCCAGAGCCCTGCATGTGGAGACACCGGCTGGGTGGGACGGCAGCAGGGAGACCCCGCGGGGGAGACACCCGAAGGATCAGAGGACCCCGAGCTCCTTCCCAAAGCCCTCAAGGGGCAGAAATCCACTATCTGCCCTGACTGCGGGAAGAGCTTCGGGAACAGCTCCCACCTGGCCCGCCACCGCCGCACGCACACGGGGGAAAAGCCCTACACCTGCCCCGAGTGCGGCAAGAGCTACCGGCAGGACTCGCACCTGGCCCAGCACCGGCGCTCCCACACCGGCGAGCGCCCCTACAAGTGCACCGAGTGCGGCAAGGCCTTCTCGCAGAGCTCCAACCTCATCATCCACCAGCGCACGCACACCGGCGAGCGCCCCTACACCTGCGGGGAGTGCGGGCGCAGCTTCGGGCACAGCTCGGACTTGGCACAGCACCGGCGGGTGCACACGGGGGAAAAGCCCTTCCCCTGCCCGCAGTGCGGCAAGCGTTTCGCCCAGAGCTCCAAGGTGACCCAGCACCAGCGCTTCCACACCGGCGAGCGCCCCTTCGGCTGCCCGGACTGCGGCAAGGCCTTCCGGCTCAGCGCCGACCTGCTGCGGCACCGGCGCACCCACACCGGCGAGAAGCCCTACGGCTGTGCCGAGTGCGGCAAACGCTTTGTGGAGAGCTCCCACCTCATCCGGCACCAGCGCACCCACATGGGCGAGCGCCCCTACCGCTGCCCGCAGTGCGGCAAGGGCTTCAACCAGAGCTCCAACCTGCTGCAGCACCAGCGCACCCACCGGGGCGAGCGTCCCTACGTCTGCGGCGACTGCGGCAAGGCCTTCGGCGTCAGCTCGGCGCTGCTGCAGCACCGGCGCACCCACACCGGCGAGCGGCCCTACCGCTGCCCCCAGTGCGGCAAGAGCTTCAGCGTCTCCTCCACCTACAACATCCACCGGCGCACCCACACCGGCCTCAAGCCCTACGCCTGCGCTGACTGCGGCAAGGCCTTCAGCCGCAGCTCTGCCCTGCTCCAGCACCAGAGCACCCACACCGGGGAGCGGCCCTACCGCTGCAGCCACTGCGGGAAGGGCTTCGGGCAGAAGGCGGCCATGGCCCAGCACCAGAGAACTCACCTGGGCCAGGAGCCCACCGGAGTGATCCCACTGGGGGACTGGGGTGCGGCCCAGCTCGGACAGAGCCAGGGGGAGGAGGAGGAGGGTGATGAGGCAGGAAGCAAGGAGAGTGCCGGGCTGGGGTGATTGGGACCAGGGCACCGGGAAGGGAATATGTGGCTGGCGGGGCAATGAAGGGAAAAGTGGAAGCTGCAGTGGACGCTGAGGGGATTGGTAGTAGGAGGATCACTGTGACGGCTCGAGGCGGCCTGGTTCAAGCTCCAGGGTGGAAGGGGAGGGGAGTACATGTCTGGGGGGAACGGGTGGCAGGGGACGGGAAGGTCCATACGTATCTGGGGGAAACAGGAAGGGCGGTACATGTCTGGGGGGAACATAAGAATGGCCCTACTGGGTCAGACCAAAGGTCCATCTAGCCCAGTATCCTGTCTTCCGACAGTGGCCAGTGCCAGGTGCCCCAGAGGGAATGAACAAAACAGATACACATCAAGTGATCCATCCCCTGTCGCCCATTCCCAGCTTCTGTCAAACAGAGGCTAGGGACACCATTCCTGCCCATCTTGTCTAATACCAATGATGGACCTATCCTTCATGAATTTATCTAGTTCTTTTTTGAACCCTGTTATGGTCTTGGCCTTCACAACATCCTCTGGCAAGGAGTTCCACAGGTTGACTGTGCGTTGTGTGAAGAAATACTTCCTTTTGTTTGTTTTAAACCTGCTGCTATTAATTTCATTTGGTGACCCCTAGTTCTTGTGTTATGAGAAGTAGTAAACAACACTTCCTTATCTACTTTCTCTACACCAGTCATGATTTTATAGACCTCAATCATATCTCCCCTTAGCCGTCTCTTTTTCAAGCTGAAAAGTCCCAGTCTTATTAATCTCTCCTCATACGGAAGCCGTTCCATAGCCCTAATCATTTTTGTTGCCCTTTTCTGAACCTTTTCCAATTCCAATATATCTTTTTTGAGATGGGGTGACCACATCTGCACACAGTATTCAAGATGTGGGTGTACCATGGATTTACATAGAGGCAACATGATATTTTCTGTCCTGTTATCTATCCCTTTCTTAATTATTCCCAGCATTCTGTTCGCTTTTTTGACTGCTGCTGCACATTGAGTGGATGTTTTCAGAGAACTATCCACGACTCCAAGCTCTCTTTCTTGAGTGGTAACAGCTAATTTAGACCCCATCATTTTATATGTATAGTTGGGATTATATTTTCCAATGTGCATTACTTTGCATTTATTAAATTTCATCTGCCATTTTGTTGCCCTGTCACCCAGTTTTGAGAGATCCTTTTGTAGCTCTTCCAATCTGCCTGGGTCTTAACTATCTTTAGTAATTTTATATCATCTGCAAATTTTGACGCCTCATTGTTTACCCCTTTTTCCAGATCGTTTATGAATATGTTGAATAGGACTGGGCCCAGTACAGACCCCTGGGGGACACCACTATTTACCTCTCTCCATTCTGAAAACTGACCATTTATACCTATCCTTTGTTTCCTATCTTTTATCCAGTTACCAATCCATGAGAGCACCTTCCCTCTTATCCCGTGGCAGCTTACTTTGAGTACGAGCCTTTGGTGAGGGACCTTTCTGAAAATCTAAGTACACTATATCCACTGGATCCCCTTGGTCCACATGCTTGTTGACCCCTCAAAGAATTCTAGTAGATTGGTGAGGCATGATTTCCCTTTACTAAAACCATGTTGACTCTTCCTCAACAAATTATGTTTATCTATATGTCTGACAATATTGTTCTTTATTATAGTTTCAACCAGTTTCCCAGTACTGAAGTCAGGCTTACTGGCCTGTGATTGCCGGGATCACCTCTGGAGCCCTTTTAAAAAATTGGCGTCACATTAGCTATTGTCCAGTCATCTGGTACAGAAGCTGATTTAAATAATAGGTTACAGACTACAGTTATAGTTCTGCAATTTCACATTTGAGTTCCTTCAGAACTCTTGGGTGAATACCATCTAGTCCTGGTGACTTATTGCTGTCTAATTTATCAGTTTGTTCCAATACCTCCTCTAATGATACCTCAATCTGGGACAGTTCCTCAGATCAGTCACCTAAAAAGAATGGCTCAGGCTTGGGAATCTCCCTCATATCCTCAGCCATGAAGACCGATGCAAAGAATTCAGTTAGTTTCTCCGCCCTCCTCTGACGGGAATAGGTGGCGGGGGTCGGGAAGGGCAGTATGTGTCTGGGAGGGTCGAGAAGGGCGGTAGGTGTCTGGGGGGAATGGGCGGAAGGGGATGGGAAGGGTGGTATGTGTTTGGGGGGAAAGTTGCGAGGGTCAGGATGGGCAGTACGTGTCTGGGGGGAACGGGGAACTAGTCTGGGCCCAATCCTTTCCCCTGGTACAGTCCTTGTTCCAGCTCAGGTGGTAGCTAGGGGATTTCTCATGACTCCAGCCTCCTTTGTTCTATTCCACCCCCGATATAGCTTTGGCACATGGCAGGAATCTTTTGTCTCTCTAGGTCCCCACCCCTCCTCAATGGAAAAGCACCAGGTTTAAGATGGATTCCGGTACCAGGTGACATGGTCACATGTCCTGTGAGACCCCAAGCCTTCATTCTTCCCGGCCTGACTCACAGGAAGGCTTGCAAGTAAACAGAGCCATCTACAGTCAATTGTCCTAGTCAATGGGAGCCATCAAGATTCCAAACCACCATTAATGGCCCACACTTTTCATAATTACATATATTTCATATTTCTAGTTTCAGATACAAGAATGATACATTCATACAAATAGAGTGATCACACTCAGTAGATTATAAACTTTGTAATGGTACCTTACAAAAGACCTTTTGCAGGAAGCATATTCTAGGCACATTATATTAATATTCAGCATATTTTCATAAAATCATATGGAGTCCAACATCACGACGTGTCTAGGGGGGATGGGAAGGGCAGTACGTGTCTGGGGGAGTCGAGAAGGGTGATACGTGTCTGGGGGACCGGGCAGTGGGGGACGGGAAGGGGGATATGTGGCTGGGGGGAGGGTCGGGAAGGGCGATACGTGTCTGGGGGGGAACGGGCGGTAGGGGATGGGAAGGGCGGTATGTGTCGG